GCCAGATTTTCTTAAGTACTTCAAACAAAACAATGTATTCCAACAGACTGAATGTAAATAAAAGATATGAGAATCTAGCCATCTTCTACTCTAAAGACAAAAAAAGATTTGCAAAATGTAAACAATGCCATGTTTCTCACTTAATTTTGTTTTGGAAATTATTTTTCACAAAAAATATTTATATTAACACATAATGGTTTTATCATTATTTTTAAATTAATAAATAAATTTTTCTGTTTTAATTTCTGAAAAGTGATTTCTGAAATATCAACAGATATAACTTCCATTAAACAAAGTTCTTTGGATTCCTCAGTAATTTTTAAGAGAGTAAAGGGGTCTGGGGCCAAAAACTTTGAGAACCACTGCACTTCAGACATTTCCACTAAGGTCAGAATGATGTCAGGTGGGGGCAGAAAATATGCAAGATGAAACTGGCACATGTTGTGCCAGGAAGTACGGAAGCTATCAAAGACTGCTTGACATACGTAAAAAATGACATAGGTATCAATTTGAAGGAGCCCCTCCCCCACCCACACATTTGCTCATCAAGCAAGAACAACAGTTGTGATTGATGAAAATACATCAAATATATAACCATCCATGAGTTCCTAAAGATAGTTTTAAAAAAACTACAACAAAAGAAATCACACTGGTCACCTTTGGAGGTTGCTAAGACATCAACTTATTTTTCTGAAAATTAATGTTTTAAAAAATTAAGCATTTCTCCAGCTTTTCCTAAAAAAACTGTTTCAGAAAAAAACAGTTGATGACTTTAAGTATCTATTATAAACTCCAATTAATACAGAAGAAATATAGTTAGGAAATCACTAATTTGCAAACTCTACATAGAGCCAGGTATCAATATTCAATAGATGCTAAAACTATTAAGTGAAAGATTGATAGAAAACTTAGTGTACAAAAAACATTGACATCTGAACCTCTGATTAACCCCAATGCCACTGAAATGGGGCAACTAGCCATTTTGTACTTCAAGATGTGATAAAAAAGGAAGTACACACCACCACTTAACGGAGTATTCTTGCCAAGAGTAATCAATCCTCTAGATCTAACTACCAATTTATAGGAAATATGTGGCATAGAAATACAAGTTAAAAGATAAAATAATCAGCCAAATCCAAAATGTGGAAAACTGCAGGACAGTTAAAACTGCATGGAAAAGAAAATGCTGGGATGAGGAATGGGGAGAGGGACTCTTACTAGATTGAGGGACTTCAGAGACATATTAAGTAAATGCAATTTGTGAACCTTATTTGGATCCCTATTAACCGTAAAAAGGCATTTTTCAGACAACCTGGAAAATCTGAACATGGACTAAGTATTGGCTATTACTTTTGTTAGGTGTGATAAAGTCCTTATCTGTTAGAAAGATTTCATGAATTTGCTTTAAAATGCTCTAAGAAAAAAAGTATAGGAGGATAAAACAAGTCCAGCAAAAAGTTGATAGTTATGGAAACTGGGTGAGGGTACATGGGGGTTGTTACACGATTTTAATTTTGTGTATGTTTCAAAGTTTTTTATAATAAAAAACAAAATCAAATAGTATTCTGTAGACACCTATATTGACAACATGGAATACAAAATAAAGTGTACGTCACAGTACCTTGCCCTTCAGTTTATAATTCTGGCAAGAAAATGAAAGAATGGAGAGAGAGGGAAAAAAAAACAATATAAGACTGCTTAATTTAAAGTAATGCTCAGATTGAATGATTCAAGCAGTAAGTGCAATAGCACTAGGAAGAGATTAATATTACTGGAGTTATTGGATAGTTGCAGGAATGATGCTTACTCTAATAAAAAAAATTCACTAGGATGTTTGTGCTTGTTCTGAATTTTCTCAGCTACTCTAGTATGTAGACTACTTTTTCAATCCTAGAATTTACCGGAAACAGAATAGAAACTCTCAAGTATAGACAGTAAAAGCACATCTGTCTTGCCGAGTAAAATCATTTGGTGTTGAAGTACAATCTTAAACAGCAAAAACATGCAGATATGCATGTAAATAAAATAGGTTTATCCACAAAGATCTACAAATCTTTTTAATAAAAGTATCTTTTCAGCATAATGTACACAAATAGTTAAAAAAAAATCTCTACAAATATTTTCTTTAATTGTATCATAACAAATTCAAGCCACAAATCAACAATGTGGCTGCAATATTAAATAATAGTGTTGAGTAAAAGGCTAAACTGATGCTACTGTACTTGGTATAAATGAACACAGAATGATCACAAAATGAACACAAATGACCTAGTTGATCTATTAAGACTCTCTGGTTAAGACACAAATATCAAGATTTCAAGAAAATTAGAGAAACACTATGAGGCATACAATTTGTAAATGAGTACACAACCTATATGTGAACACAAGCAGATTAGACTTTTAAATAAAATTTTCAGTTGAGTGAAATTAAATGCTAACCTATGCTCAGTGACAGATAATTTCTAAAAACTTTCACTAATAAAGAACAGGTGGCGTCTTCACGGATCTCTGGTCATAAAGCAGCTTCACCTCTTCCCAAAACATTCCAGTATAAACTTTTCTGTATTGGCCAAAACTAAGAAAAAACAAATAACAGAATGGGGGGGTAGGGGGCGGGAGAACTCCCTAGTCAAAATTTGCTGTTTTATGTAAACTAACTGAAGAATGCATTGATTAGAAGCACAAAATAAGCAACAACTCATTATAAATTTATTGAGTAGTTTTAATTACATGCCCTAAAACATATCTACATATTATGACTAACTATATGTAGTATCCGGCTTTTAGTTGACTTGCTACTTGGGCATTACGTCATTCCTAAAAAATGTTTACCATCTAAATAGAAATTCAATAGGGAATATTGAAATTTTTGTTTCATAGTTCTGCTGCTAAAATCAGCCTGAAATTAGTTTTAATCTAGTAAAAACTAAAAAAAAAGGTGACAAGGCCTATTATCAAACAATTGAGTCTCTCTTTTTAATAGTAACTACGGAGTAAACAAATGTTCAGCCAAGCCTTGTGTATCTGTACCATGTATAATTTTTCATCATATATTTACATTAAGCCTGAATTTTGCTCAAATTGTATTAGATTACAAAGGAAATTTAAATAAGACCTAACTGTACCAGTATAATTAATAACCCCCCACCCTTTTTTTTTGGTGAGGAAGATTGGCTGTGAGCTAACATCTGTGCCAATCTTCCTCTAATTTTTGTATGTGGGATGACGCCACAGCATGGCTTGATCAGCAGCGTGTAGGTCCTCACCCAGGATCTGAACCTGTGAACCCTGGCATGCAAACCTAACCACTACACCACCAAGCCAGCCCCACATTTTTATTTTTTAGAACATAAACATTAACAGAAAAATCTTACGTTTTGTTAAAATCTTTATAAGCATGTACTGTTTTTATAAAAAATAATTGTTTAAAACAATTTAAAAAATTGAAACAAAACTAAAAATGTCCTATTTCTTATTTTTATCTTAGAAAACAAAATAGACTAAATGAAATATCAGTGTTGCCCTTTTTTTTTAATCAATGAAAAGTTCTTAAACACGGAAAATAAGATTTTGGTTGAGTTTATAATCAACATTTTCATTTCTAACAATGTAAGGGATTAACTGATTTCATATACCCATACCACAGCACTGTAATTAATTTTAAAACTATTCAATTAATGATCTCATCTGGAAATGAAAGACAAGGTTTAAATATTTTTAAAGACCTGGTATTCTCATCAAAGATAAGTAAAATAAAGCATCAATAAACATATTTTTTCCAACTCTCCTAATATTTTAATCTTGCTTCCTTCATTCCATTCCAAGATCTTTTGAGTAAAAAAAAAAGTTTAATGTAAATCTTTTTAAACAAAATAGCTATTTTAAAGAAAGTAAAGTCCACAAATTTGCATTTTAAATTTATTTCAGAAAACGTATTTTCAATGTATTTAAATATTTAAGTAGTATTAGGATAATATATAAAAGTCCCCCCATTAAAGTATAAATCCCACTTTCTTCTTCGGGAGAAAATTAAAATTGAAGAAATTAAATTTAAAAACTCTTTCTCATCTAAGTTTTTTAGGAAACACATTTGTGAAGTTTAAATTTTCTGGATGTTAAAAATTCTTTTCAAAAAGTATCACAATTACGTTAAAAATCACAAGATCTACCAAAAAAAATTTTTAAAGAACAGTAACTATATCTCTCACCTTACTGTCCTCCTCTATTTTGTCATTCATTTTTTTGGACAGCATTTTTCCTTCCCTTTTTCTCAAAGAGAAATTCCTATAAATCATTGGTACTTGTCATCAATATCTAGTTCAATTTGAACCTTTCTCAAGTCACTCACCTGTACAGCAAATCTGAATCCAATAAATCAAATGAACAGCAATTGATTCCAAAATCCAGGTTAAAAACCAAAACATATTCTAGCATACACCAGTATGTTATATAGTCTAATACAGATTAATGATAAAAAACTAAGCTTTCGATACTTATTTGAGGGGCTTAATAGAAAGGGTTTCAACTTCATTCTAATCAAACGGTTAAAATAAGTAAAAATAAACTGCGTCGTTATATTCGACCAAACCAACCAAGACATAAAGAATATTAAGTACAAAATGGTTTTCCAAGAGTGGTTTTTAATTCTCTTTGTAACCAATTTCCTATCAGACTTCTATCATTATACAACTGGAACTGCTTCCATGAAGTCACCAGTAGGAAATCACACTTCTTTCAGAAATCTGCCTCCAGGCCTCCGCGCCCTCCCTGGCAAGAACTAAATCTAGCCCCTCTCATCCCTCCCTTAAGTATTCAATTTCTTTCCCGAAGTAGAGCTTCCATAAATATTACAATATTAAGGACTAAATTTTAATGAATACAAATCAGAGGAAATGAAGGAACATTAACTCCCATCCAAACCTTCCTTTAAAAAAAATCTGTTTCCAAGTCATATTTTTAACTTCCCCCATGATTCTCTCTTAAAAAAGACGAACACAAAATCTCTCTGCTAATGACTTTATTCATGAATCTATAATAGAACTCAAAATAGCAAAGAACATGAAAAAAATTCAGATTAATATTTATCAACCAGAAACATCAGAGAATACATTTTTTCCATATAACTAACAAAAATGCCTAAAATGCACACATGAGAATATAAATATTCTCCACTTTGTGGAATTTCAAAGTAATGAAGACTTGCTTAACAGTCTTTCAGAAAAGATCATTTACACTGTCAAATACATATAATTCAAAAGAAATCAAACGTAACTCATAAAATAACCACCTCATGGTTAATCTTTTGGTAAAGTACTACTTTCATACTAAAAAAAGAAATTAGTAACGATTAAATTTTAAATGCTGAACCACCATTCTGAAAGTGTTAAAATTTTTCTTCAGTATTCACTAAATTCATCACATTCATGTCCCCACTATGAAACTATAAACACTACTTTGCAATTTAAAAAAATCTTTCAGTTCAGATTAGTTCCTGGATGTTAAAAATTACTACACCATTGCTAAATGAAGCTTTTCATGATATAGGAGTGTTTTAGACACAATAATTTTTCATTGTTTCGAACATGATCTTTGGTTTGATGCTGTCCTGATATCCTTTCTAGCCGGATGGTTCTGGTTAGTAAAATATTCATAAAACAACACACTAGTTTCATTCGAATGATACAAGTAAATTGGGTCAGTGGCCTAAGGGCAATGGCAAATACAAAGAAAACTGGCAAGATAAGTTCTCGAATCCATAACTGACATGGTCAGTGTTAAAGGAAATCAGTGTTGCTGAGGAGTGGCTCACCTCCTTTCATCCAAGACCTCTATCAACTCATTAACGGCATTAGCCATTTCGAGGAAATCAGTTGGAAAAAAATCTAATCTGAATGAAGGCACACAGGTGCAAATCTTAAGCAGATAAATAAGACCAACTAAATTACATACGCAAGCATGGGTGTGTCGACCCCAAGCACATACATATATCTCATGTTTGAGGTTGAATATCATCACTGCATAGATTCCATCACATGGAAAACTCTACGCCTGTGGGTATATACATCCTAGAGATCAGAACTAGGTGATGGTTCTTCAGAAATAATGAGACTTTAAAGGACGTACAAGTTGGCCTTTCCCCAAAATGAAAGGTTTTAAATTAATAGCAAAACGATGCAATAACAATGAAAACTGTAAAAAGCCATAAAGTTAAATCTCAGAGAGGACAAGGTCAATTTCATAACTGAAGGCTGCTGATGATTTCTTCTCTCTCTCTTTGAATAATCAAATGCAAATGCCTTTTAGCAATGGCAGCATTCAAATCCCACAAAAAATCAAGTAGTGCCCCCTGAAGGAGCACCTCCATTGGCACAAACTGTAAAACCTGCTCTGGTGCATCAGTGTTAAGCAAAGCACTCAACAATTCATTCACATTCTGCAGGTACTGGAAAACTGGATTTGGAAGGTCCTGATAACCAACACACAGCAGGACTGCACAGGTCTTCAGGGGTTCAGAGGATGTGGGACAAGAAAACGTGATGAATCTAAAACAGCTGTGGAGTACAAAGACCAAACCAGCCATAAATCTCGTAAAACAAGAAAGTACAGGCAAAATCATAACATCTCCTGTATGAAGCTGCTGCAATGAATGCAGAAGGCAGTCCAAAAATAACTGCTGGTAAGCTGGGTCTCCATCATGAAGCAATGAACAGCTAAAAGTCATGAGCTCAGCTGATTCCAAAAGTCGAACTTCCAACGGTATACGCATTTTGATATCATGGAGAGTTGGAAAACCCACAAGCAGGCACTTTATTTGGTTACTGGGTTCTACAACCTGATCATCCTGAAGGCACTTGGTAAGTCTAAACAACTCAGAAAATATCAGTTCTTCAGAAAAAACGTGACAAGAACAATAATACTGCCGTTTTGGCCTAAACTTGGAATCCAAATTCAAGGCTTCTCCTAATGACTTTTCAATTGCTTCATTAAGAGCCTTTAAAATTTCACCATCACAGAAGGGAGAACACTTTACCTTTGGCAGTTTCTTTCCCTCTAAAATATGCCATAAGTGACACTCAAGACTGGAAGATGTCCCTTCTAAACAAGAACTTTGCCCAGGTTGATATGCAGCATGTTCTTCAGCCCAACTATTCAAGTATCCTTTGGCCACCTTATCTTTCCATGAAAGGGTTTCCAGCATTTTCCTTTCATTATAAGTTTTAAAATATTTGTTCCTCTGCCCAAACCATTTTGTATTTGTACTACAACCAATGTTAGATTTTTTTACTAGCCAATTATTTCTGGAAAGAGGCTTCAAATGAAACTTTTGCATGAAATATTGAACAGCACAGTCCCTTAAATTATTCAGCTTTGCTTGTTCCCCTTTACCCATGCACTCAAACAGACGAATGTTCTCAGAAATAGTCTCTAGCTGGTATTTATGAAAGAACACACAACATTCTTCATGTCTTTTAAGAAAAGATTCAGGAATCACATGATGAGGAAAGAGAGCTTTCCTGGTCATTTCAGTCCCAAAATTCAGCACCATCTTAGATAACAGAAGATGGATTGCCTCTCTTCCCTTATAGTGGAGACATACCACATAGACTTCTGAGTTTCCTGCCTTGCTAGTAGCAGGTTTGAAAACATGGACTTGGTCAAAAGAACAGTTTAGCAGGTACATCAGGTTTATGGAACAATGCTCAAACAAAGTAAACATCTTCAGAACAAAAGAGCCACCATTTCCAAGAGTCGTCAGAGCAGTGACAACTTCACAGTAATGCAAAGAAGAGACTAGAGCTTCTTGTTCACCTGGGTTTCCTTGGCAATCAAAACTCCCATCTGCAGTGATTAAGTGAATGGTAGCCATGTTGCTTACGAAATCCTGAAGTCCAGTTAGATATTGCAAAGTCATGATATCACCAGTGTTATCTGGACCAAAATACCACCAGTGCAAAGTATTTGCAATAAGTCTGTCATCCATAATCATCATAAGATTGTCATTTGCTTCATGGTATGGATTCAGAGTATTAGCTACCCAATTCCAATCACAGGGGAATTGGAAGGATTTTAAGTAGTGATTGAGACTAGCTATAAAAGCTCCAGGAGCTTCACAAAGGTGTAAAGTATTCAGTTTTCCATTCTGAAGAGCTTCCTGTGGAATAAGTGGAAAGCTGCACAATATTTCATGAAACTTACACCACGCTTGCGTACAAAGTTCAGCGTTCACGGATTTTCTCACATGAGAAATTATTTTTCCAGCTTTATTAGTGAAAGCAGTGTGCTCGTGCCACTCATCCAGTTTCTTGTCACTCAGTAGGTTTTTTACTTCATTTAGGGAGTTCTTCAAATCAAGAAATGCATTAAATTCCGTGTGGTCACAGGTGAAAATCTCACTAGGATCTGGTAACTGCCACTCATTATTAAGTGGCTTGCCATAAGAAAATTTCTTGGCAAAGAGTTCAACAATGTCAGCAAGAACATCTGGGCTGAATGTCTCAGGACTTGAACCCAGTGGTGGCTTTCTGTACTTACTCATTTTCAAATTAAATTAAAATCTAGAAAAAGAAAACACACAATTAAATTAATCAAATTTATTAGTGAGTGAAATCTCATCCACAGCACATCAGATCACACTCATGACAAACCACATAAAATGGGAAGGCTAATGTCGGCACACTCTGTTACGTAACGAGGCAATTTGGAATAAAGAGGAAAGGCTTCAACATCCAAGAGACCTGGGCTCGAATTCCAGCTCTGCCACTTACAGCTTATAAGCAGCCTTGGGCAAATTACTTTACATCTTTGAGTCAGTTTCTTATTTTAAAAATTGAGGTATAATTTATTTAGATGAGGATAAAACATGCTAGCACATAAAAAAGCATATACCAAAGGATATTCATCAATGAATGGCAGCTCTTATTACCAGAGTAACCCATCTAGCTCCTCCCCAAAGTTCTCCTTTACCCATGGCCTGAGACACCACCAAAGGGCACCAAACACACTCTTAAACTAAGATTCATCCCTGAACATGACCTTTAATCAAGCTCTAACAAGTGACTTTTAGCATTTTTTTTTTTTAGCTCCCTCGGAATCTCACGTCCTTCCAGGAGAGGGTCCTGCACCTGAAGCCAGTACTGGTCCTGCTACCAGGCCTCTCTGCTACCACCCACTTCCTCACCTACCAGGACTGCCGAATATGTTGTCTGTCCAGATCTCACTCTCTTGCACTTTGGCAGTACCAAATCACCTTTCCAGGCCATCAACTAACACTCATCACCAGACTGCTTGTTAACTGGGGTGTACTTGACTGACCGGTTAGCCTCCTTCTGCTCAATGCTGAAACTGACCTAGAGTTCACCCTGGCATGTTTCTAAACTACAGATCCCTGCCTCACCTGGTCGGTCAGACAGATCCATGCTTACCTGATAAAATCTTATTTCTTCTTGCCACTAAAACTTAACACACTTTGATAGGAGAATTTTAAACTGAAGAAGTATCCTTATTGAATATACAAATTACAAATAGTCACCCTACATTCTGTGTTCTAACACTGCCTAAGAAACCAAAACACCTGTCCCGTGGCGAGGGAAAGGGATATAAGAGAAAGAAGCACAGCTTAATGGCATAGCTTTGGAAAAGTTCTAAATTCCAGTAGATAGAGCAATGAGTATTACATGGTTATTATGCTATTACACAGTATTAGCACAATGTTAATCAATAAGTGCTTTAGTTCATGAGTTCTGCATTTATTTAGCCTTTTCAATGCATTCTACACCAGTTTTCAAAAAGAATCTAAATTTGTTAAACATGAAAAAAATGACAACTAAACCACTATCCCACAAGAAGCCAATGTTTGATGATTAAAATGAGAAATAAAGGTGAGCTAGCGCCACAATAACATCCAGAAGACTGTATTTACTGGCATTTACTTTGTACTGTTCTTTTAGCACAGTTTTTTAACCTTTTATATTTTAAGTTATTTACAAGTGTGTCTACTGTACGAGCTTGTAAGCTTCTTGAATAAGTATCTTCTTAGCCATTTCTGTTTGCTATAGTATATCTACAAATTACACACAAATTGTGGTTAATTGTAGTCACAATTACCCATCAATATCTTTTTCTTACCTTGAATCAATTATTTGTTTTACTCTTAGAAGCTATATTTAGACAAATTTCTGAAAGAAGGCAAAAAGGAGGCATTTTCACACTCACTAAAATCGTAAATAAAAGCAAGTGAAAGTTTATTACAACAAGCTATTCTATCTTAATTCACACCATGCTTACTGGAAACTACAACCAGGTTTAGATCTCAACTATATTCTATTTTGGGAAAAGTCTGATTTTAGTCATTAACTTCACATACTAATTAATGGCTGTAGTTAAGCTCTGAAATCTTACCTAATAGGTAATTACCTTCACATGACAACAACTAAAATGATTCAAACACTCCATTGTTCTTCCCGACTACACCTGTGGTACACAGACCAAAATTATATACATTATATATTTATGTATAAATTATATATTAATATTGAAGAATGTTCAGGTCGATAATCCATGATTTATCCGAACATTTGTTTCCTACTATCAAATTCCCAGAATCCAACCACTTCTCACCCACCTCCAGCTCCCAGCCTCCTGATGGTAGACACTGTCAACTCTCTCCTGGATTACCGCCGTAGCCTTCTAACTGGTCTCTTTGCTTCTATCCTTGCTTCCTACAGTCTATTCTGAAACACACTGACCAGAGTAACCTTATAAAAATCTAAGCTACACTGTGTCGCTGCTCTGCTCAAAACTGTGCGATGGGTCCCCACTTCACTCCAATGTAAATGCCCAAATCCTTACAGCAGCCTACAGGGCCCAGGAAGATTTCTGCCCTCTGGCTCAACCTACTTCTAACCGAATTTTCTATTACTAATTCCCATACTCATTCTGCTCTAGCCACACAGGCTTTCTTGCTCTTCACTGAAGACACCAGGCACATTGCAATCTGCAAGTCTTTGCACTGGTCAGTCCCTCTGCCTAGAATGCTCTTCCTTCAGATATCTGCATAGCTAACTCTCTCACCTCCTTCAAGTACTTACTCAAGCGTAACTATCTCTGTGAAGCCTACCTTGACCTCCTAACCTAAAATTGCACCTTGCGTTACCAACGGTAAAGACGAAAATAAGAACTTCGCTGTGTTTCGTTTTTCCATGGCACTCTTTTCCTTCTAACATATTATGTACTTATTTATGTTTAATGTGTATTATTTGTTTCCCAAACTAGGATCTAAGCTCCACAGGACAGGAATCTTTGTTTCGTTTACTCACTTATCATCCCAAGAGGTTAGAACAGTGCTTAGCACACAGTCAGCACTCAATAAATATTTACTGAATAAATGAACGGATATCATATTTAGCACAAAAGCCCCTCTTCTAATTAGGTTCTGAATATGAGTCATGATAATGCACCTCAGCTTCACTCCAGCACTTCAACGCACGACCAAAAAAAGCATGGGATTTACAGAACGCAAGGAAAAAGTTTCCAGTATGTGTTTCTCTTTCCCTTTCATTAAGCACTCCATAGAGCTTTGTAGCATCATAATTCTAAGAGGGTCAGTATTAACATTCTTATTTTGCAGACTCGAGCAGGAAGTCACGTAGGCCCCGGCCCAAAGCTACAAAGGGAATACCTGCAAAATTCGTGGGCCTAACACAAAACCCACAAGACCTCATCAACAGCTGTTACCTCTCCAATTAACACTTACAAAGGAGTTTTAGAAGTGCTTCCCCCAACCCCTCCTCCCAGCAACAGCGGAAAGAATAGCTAGTGTGTATCCTGCACTTCACTGTGGGCCAGGGGCACCCAAGATCTCGGCTCAGCTGGTGCAAGCGAGTCTCAAGCTCCATTCGAGAGGCCCGGTCCCTGACCTGGAGGAACCTCAGACCCAGCCCCTGCCTCACCCACTGGAAGGTGTTAAGAGGCCCCGGGCTCGGAACCCGGGCCTGGATTACCTTCGCTCACGCCCACCTCGGCCCCAGAGTCTACAGGGGCTGCGCTTCACTCGCTCTCCTCACTCGAGGGGGCCATTCTCCACTTTCGCTCCCGGGGCTGCTTCCCGGGCCGGTCGCTCCTTTGGGTCTGCGGCACCTCCGCCACGGGGCAAGGAGGTGACCAGCCGGGAAGGAAGCCCGGACCCGCCCTCGCGACACTAGCAGCGGGACACCACCTCCAGGCCGCGCCGCCGCCGAACGCCCGGCAGCCCGAGAACCGCGACAGACACTGCGCACGCGCCTCGAGGCCGGCCTGGCGTAACGCGTTAACGTTACGCACGCCGGCGACTCTCGCGACGCCGAGGCCTTGGCTCCCTAGGTTTGCTTCTCCGCAGGGTACCTGAGCTGGGCAGCCCCAGCCTTCCTCACCACGGCCTCTATGGCAACGGGAGCTGCGCGCGCAGACAGAGCGTCCTTTGGCCCCGCCCTCTCGGGTGGAGAGGTGGGTGGAGCGGGGCAAAGCCGCCCAGGGCACGCTGGCTCCTCCCACCTAGCCTCTGGGACCTAGAGGCTTTGCAGCGCTGTCGGGCAGAAGTTAGTTCCTAGTACAGCTTGAGTTCACACAGGTGCTCGAAAGACAACGTGAGGTTAAAAGCCAAACTAGGAACCTGCGAGATAACACTGTTATTATAACATACATATATATTTATAAGCCAATGAGAAAAAGACAGCCTCAGAAGAAAAATGGGCAAAGATTTGAACAGGCAGTCCCAAAAAAGTAAAATACAGTAGCCAGTAAGGATATACAAAGTTGTTTAACCTGTTATAAAAAAAGAATTGGAAATGAAAACAATATGTTTTCACTCAATTTAGCAAAGATTTAAAGAAAGATTTAAAAAGATCGATAATGGTGAGAGTATGGAGAAACAGGTTTATCTACTGTGGTTGGGAGGGAAAATTGGTATAAACCTTCCAGAAGGCAAACTTGAAAATAGCCTTGGCCCTTAGCCCAGCAATTCCCACTCCTAGCAGTTTATTCTTAGAAACACAGCTGGCACTCACTTGGGACAAAATTTCATTTCAGCACCTAATGACAACAATAACAAAAACAGGAAACTTGCTAAATGTCTACTTTAAGGGAATTAATTAAATTCTTTACAGTACATTCATATAATGGGATACTATGCAGCCATTAATAAGCTATATGTGTTAACAGTATTGCGTGAAAATAGTAGAATATAGAACTGTGTGTAGAGTTTGAACCATTTATGTAAATCATATATATATATATAAAAGACAATTTTATAAGTCTTCCAGGACATGCATCAATGGAGAAAAAATTGTCTTTTCAAAAAATGTTGCTAGGTCATTTGGATATCCATATGGAAAGAATTTTAAACTTTGTTTGGACTCTTATATCATAAACAAAAATACATTTCATTTGGATTGCCAATCTATATTTTAAAAGTTAAACAATAACTCTTTTAGCAGAAAACATAAGAGAACATCTTCATGACCTTGAAGTAGGCAAAAAGTTTATAACAAGACAAAAAAAGCACTAATCATAAAGGGAAAATATATAAATTGAACTATATTAAAATTAAGAACGTCTATTCATTGTAAGACACCATTGAGAGTGAAAAGGCAACATATAGCGTGGGAGAAGATATTTACCATACATGTATATGACAAAGGACTTGTATCCAGAATATATAACACCTACAAGCAAATAAGAAAAGATGTCCCAGTGGAAAAATGCGCAAAAGACCAGAACAAACTTTGAAAAGATGATATCCAAAAAGCCAGTAAACATATGAAAAGATGCTCAACTTCATTAGTCTTTGGGGAAATGTAAACTAAACCCATAATGAGACACAATTACACAGCAGACTGGATAAAATAAAAAAGACTGAAAATATGTGTTGGAGAGTATGAGGAACAACCAATGGAAATCTGTTTGGGAAAAAAGGATCTTCTAAGATATTTCAAACTCATGAATTGGTTGCCTCCCCCCCACCCCACCCCACCCCTCAATTTTTTTGAAGTATAATTTACATACAGTCAAATACTCAGATCTTAAGTGTGCTATTCAACTACTTTTGACAAACACCTGTTAAATATTCAAGAAAGTTCCTTCTAGCCCCTTCTCAATCTCCCACTCCCCAGAAGCAATCACTGATCTGTTTTCTATCATCATAGTTTAGTTTTGCCTATTCTAGAATTTCATATAAATTCAAGCATTAAAGTTTATAATTTTTTGTTTCCAGCCCCTTTCCACTCAGTGTAATATATTTTTTTTATATTGTTGAGGGGAAAAAAAATCTTTTCCTTCTACCCTTCTAGGTTCTCAGCTCGGGCTTTGTAACAAAAGATAGATTCACAATAAAACATATAAATTTACTGATATGTTTTATGTGACATGGAAGGCTTCACAAGGAAATGAAGACCTAAAGAAACCATTAAACCTTAGTGTTTTACTAGGTTTGATGAGGAGTGGAAAGTTGTGGGAAAACGTGACAAATCAGTGTGAGCTAAGAGTAGAAAATGAGAGAAACTTAGCAAGACATGTTCACTCCTATTCCTCTTGGAGTCCTTCCATCTTTGGAGATAAGAATGTTCCTTTCCTCCAGGTACAGGGAGGGCACCTCCCACACGAGATAGATCATAAGGCCTGCTTCAGGACAAGGTCAGAGAGTTCTTTCTGCACTTCCCATTTCTCAAATTCCTTTAGCTTAAATTATTCAATATGCCAAGTCACCATATTTGGGGGTAGCATGTTCTGAACCCTGTCAATATTCATCCGTGTTGTTTTATATATCTGTAGTTTGTTCTTTTTTACTGCTAAGTAGTATGCCATTGTATGGATAGACCACAATTTAGTTATGTATTCTCCTGCTGACAGACATCTGAGTTCTGTTTCAGGTTTGGATCTGTTATGAATAAACCTGCTCCGAACATTCTAGTGCAGGACATTTTTGTGAGCATGTATTTTCTTTACTGGGTAAATACCTAGGCATGGAATGGCAGGGTCATGCAGTAGGTTAGGGTTTCTCAACCCCAGCATTATTGTTATTTTGAGAATCACTGAGGTAGGTGAATGTGTAGCTCTTTAAGAAACCTCCAAACAGTTTTCCAAAGTGTTTGCACCATTTTACATCCCTACCCACAATACGGAAGAATTCTGGTTGTTTCACATCCTCGCCAACTTTTAATGTTGTGAATCTTTTTCATTTTAGCTATTGGTGGGAGCTGGTTGCTTTTTACATCTGATTCTTAATAAATATTAATTGAAAATGAAAAGCTGTGGATATAGTTCTTTTGTGGGACTAAAGACTAGATGAAGGATATGTGATCTCTTAAACACAATCACTATGTTCCCTATAATCCCTGATATTATAAATATTATCAGGAATATTTCAAATAATAAAGTTTATAGTGAGCCAGTCATTACTAAAATAATCACAACAGTAACATTTATTGAGTACATAATATGTGCTGAGCACTGAGCTGCCTTTTTTTTTTTTCATTTAATCCTCTCAACAACTCCATGAGGTAGACGCATGTATTGTCTCCATTTTATTAACAGAGAAGTCAAGGGTCAAAGTGATTCAGCAATTTGCTGAAGGTCGTGTAGTCAACAAGTAGCGGAGTCAGGGTTTGGACCTGGTGGGCCTGACTCCAAGGCCAATCTGTTCTGCAGAGAATTCCTAGAAATCGCCTCCAGCAATTTAAAAACAACTTTATAGTCCACATTGCTGGCCAGAAATGCTTATAGTAGACCAGTAATTAAAAGAAAAAAAGAAAAAGAAAGATGAGTTTCATTCATTTTGTCCTAAAAGCAATAATCTGTTACAAAGATTTTTGGAAAAGATGAAATGTTATGAAGGAATGAAATTAGTACCTGAAACTTTAAAAAGTTGAAAGAAAATAACTAAACCCTGCACTAATATACTTGCAGATTTGGATAAAAATGCATAGTTATGTGAATGCACTTAGCATCAACTTTTAAATATATATTTTAATAAACATGTGTAGTATCTGAGTGGAAGCTAGCTATAATTAGTTATTCTTTCCAATTCCTGAGTGTTCTTTATACTCAACCGGCATGACAATGAGAACGTAAGTAGCGTAAGAATTAAAACAACTGACTCCCCAGCCTCTGCTCCCATTCTATTTCTCTGTCAAAGCAAACAGATACGAAAGTGCTTCTGTGGTCATTTATCACCAATCAACTGGCTGAGTCTCCAATTACATCCTCAGAGAGATTCTGTGAGGGGACCATGTACAAATGGTCATTCCAAAACCTCCGAGGGAGTTTTCTGGGGTGATGGAAATGTTCTATATCCTCATAGGGGAGGCAGGTGAAGAGGTACATGTATCTGTCAAAACTCATAAATGGTACAATTAAGATTTGAGCATTCTGTTAAATATAAATTTTACCTAAAAAAAAAAAAAAAAGAGCCATAAACAAAAATTGAACTTATGCTGAAGGATTTAGGGGAGAAGTGTCCTGACACATGTACCTTACTTTGAAATGCACCACCCATACAATGGACTGGTGGATGGATAGAGGGATGGATCAATGATAAAGTGAGTCCAGCAAAATGTTCACAATTGTAGGATCTAGGTGGTGGACACACGGCTGTTTACTACGTAATTCTTTCAGCTTTTCTCTGTTGAAATTTTTTCATAATAAAATATTGGGGGAAATAAACAGAGATTCATATAATGAAAAGCAAGAATGGCATCTCTTTCTGTTAAAAAAAAATACATACATACAATGAGTGTCTAGTGTTTTCCATTAACACAGGAAACAGAGCCTCTGAGTGAGCTTTAAGTGAATAGCATTGGACTTGGTGGAGACCAGACAAATGTTCTTTCGATCAGTCATTTGATCCATTTATCTGATTTAGTGAACACCATTCAGGCTTGATTTTGACCATTACACAACCTTAAATGGTTCCTATTCTTTGTCACACAGTGTTCCACTTACTCTCTTCTTGTCACATGGAATGGACCATTGTTTAAAGGCAGCAAACTAAGAGACCACTGACATTGAAATTCCAGAAGTCAATGAAAGTTATAAACCTGATAATAATTCTTCCAATTTCCCTCATGATGATCTTCACTAGATATTTAAATTGCATTCTGATCAAAATTGTCAAACAGCATCTTAAGCTGTGAAAATACAATGTTAAGGGGCCAGCCCCATGGTGTAGTGGTCAAGTTTGGCACACTTGGCTTCAGCAGCCTGAGTTCACTCATTCAGATCCCAGGCGCGGACCTATACCACTCATCAGCCATGCTGTGGTGGTGACCCACATGTGAAATAGAGGAAGATTGGCACA